GCGGCCCGGCGGGGAAACCCCCTCTCGCCCGAGGAAATGACACGGAAAACGGACCGAGGCGACGTTCCTCCTTTGTTCTTTCCACTTCACGTAGGGTTGGCCATGACGCAGAAATGAGTACATTAAAACTCTCTGCAATGCGTGAGTGGGGTTGTCAGTGGCGGAAGTAAGTAAAAGCTAACTCTACCCCACTTCAATTTTTTTCAAGATCCTGCCGCTTAAAAGAAGAAAAGGATATTGGAGGATCTGTACACCTGCAAGTCATTAATGAACTTCAATGTCCCATTAAAAATTTTCTGCAGCGCTTAGTTTATAAAGGTGCCCAGATATTTTACAACGTTTTGAATTTGTTAGAAAACATTATATCTTTTCCTCTGTGTCCTGTGGCTTAACTCATTTATTTTTTAAAATACATTTTTATTGATTTCAGAGAGGAAGGGAGAGGGAGAGAGAGAGAGAGAGAGAAGCATCAGTGATGAAATAAAATGGATTGGCTGCCTCCTGCACGCCCCACACTGGGGACCTAGCCGCACCCGGCATGTGGCCTGACCAGGAATCGAACCCTGACCCTCTGGCTCATCGGTCGCAACTCAACCACTGAGCCACACTGGTCCGGCTAACATACATTCTTTAAAGTTTTTATTGACTGATTGGTTTTAGAGAGAGAGGAAGGGAGGAAGAAACATCGATTTGTTCCACGTATGCATGCATTGTTTGATTCCTTTTCTATTTTTAATATTTTTTTATTATTGATTTCAGAGAGGAAGGGAGGGAGAGATGTTGTAATGTACCCCGTGAATCACAGAAGGACGCCTCAAGAAGTCGAATTAAAGAGTCACATGTATTGCAATCCGGGACTACGAGGGGTCATTCCCAAATCTCATAGTGATAAGATGGTGGCAACACCAGATTTATATAGGCAAAAATCACAAAGGTATTGATTACATCTCAAGGTTTGGAATGAGGAACATCATTTGTCCTTTCTTGATTTGTGGATGATAGCCATTCTGACAAGTGTGAGACGGTATCCCATTGTGTTTTGAAAAAATGTATTTTTAAGTACTTCAGAGAGAAACATCAATGATGAGAGAATCATTGATCAGCTGCCTCCTGCACGCCTTCCCCTGCCCCCCGCCCCGCTACTCCCCAGCATCAAGCCTGCAACCCAGGCATGTGCCCTTGACCGGAATCGAACCCTGGACAAAGTTTCCTTACACCAGTGGTCGCCAGCCTTTCAGACCTCACGGACCACTGGTTGGTGACCGCTGTAAGTTTAGCCCATAGGCCAATGCTCTATCCACTGAGCCAAACCGGCTAGGGCTGATTTTCTTTTTAATGTTTTTATTGATTTTAAGAGAGCGAGGAAAGGAGAGAAACATTGATGAGAGAGAAACATCATTGACTGGCTGCCTCTGCACACCCACTACTGGGGATCAAGCCTGCAACCAGGGCATATGCCCTGACTGGGAATCAACCAGCCACCTCTTGGTTCATGGGTGGATGCACAACCACTGAGCCACAGGAGCCGGCCCATTGGTTGATTCTTGTGTGTGCCCTGACCAGGGATCCAACCCGAACCTTGGCATTATTGGGAAAGAAGATGCTCCGACCAACTGAGCTGCCTGGGCAGGGATAGGTCATTCCTTTTTGATGACTAGGAGAAAACACAAGGGAACAAGAGTCATCCCCTTTTTACATTTAGAAAAATGAAACGTAAGTAGGGTGACACCGAGTCATACAACAGCTCAAGGAGAAGAGATGAAATGACCCAAATTCAACTCCTGAGGATTTAAAGATTTCCTCCTATCGGGGTCTAAAACTGCCCCTGGTACTAAGACATCAGTGTAAATGTACCTGACACTGCCCCCCCACCACACCTCCCCTCTTCTACCCCCCCTTCCTTCTTTCAAGCCCTACTATGATCTTCTCACTTGCTCACACTCACCTAGCACTTTCCAGACTTCCCGCTTTACAGAAGCAGCCAACCTGGTCTCAGAATGTCCTCTCCGCTTCATTTTTATTTAAAGCCTTTAGAGCAGCGGTGGGCAAACTATGGCCCGTGGGCCGGATACAGCCCGTTTGAAATGAATAAAACTAAAAAAAAAAAGACCGTACCCTTTTATGTAATGATGTTTACTTTGAATTTATATTAGTTCACACAAACACTCCATCCATACTTTTGTTCCGGCCCTCCGGTCCAGTTTGAGAACCCATTGTGGCCCTCGAGTCAAAAAGTTTGCCCACCCCTGCTTTAGAGCCATCAGGAAACAATTGTGGCTGCACCCAGATTGCTAAATAAACTCCGGGCAATCATCCTCTGTCCACTCCGTCACAATCATCTATTTGGGTTGTTGTTTTTCATCTTTGTGTTAAATTTTCAATTATTTGTATCTTGTCTCCCTATTCCTTGAACGTATACTTTAACATTTGATGATGAAGGGGAAGACCAAAATGGGTCCCCCCAAAAAAGGTCATAATTAAAGTCTATTTATACCAAATTTAAGTTAATTAAGCGGGCTTAGGCAAAATAAAGGTGAGAAGCAAGGGTTTTAAGCTAAGTTAGCTTGCTTTTAAATCTGTGATCAGGCACCTAAACTAGTTATGTGATATTCGTCAGGTTAATTAACCTTCCTAAAAGCTTCAGACTCTGAATGGAGATAATAATAGCACCTCCCTCATAGGGCTGTGGTAAGAAGCAGATGCAATTCTGCATATAAAGCAGAATTGTGCGCATAGCTTAGCGCAGAGTAAACTTAAAAATATTAGCTAAATGGCAATGATGCTGATGGTGGTGATGGCAATGATGATGGAAAGGAGGAATTTTAGAATGGTCTTGCACCTTGGAGATTCCAAAGGGGAAATTCAGGACAGTTTGATTTAATCATCTTGGGAGAGAATATGATTCAAAATAGTTGTATACATGAAATCAAGTTTAACCTTTTCTCCACTTTCTCTAGACCTTCGTAGGCTTAAATATTTAATTAGAGCTGAAGTGATTAACATTTAATATGTTTGCTTTATATAGTGGGTACTTCAACGCTGGAAGTTACAAAACATGGCCACACTTGGCAAGAGCGTTTATTTACTTAAAACTGCTTTTAAATGTAATTATTAAACATTCAAGTATGTTTTATGTTAAAAGTTACTTTTCTCAAGTGTAGTGAACTTGATGTTTTGATTCATCAAAATGTAGTTCAAATAATAAAAAGCAAGCACCACTTGTGCTTGTCTCAAAGAAT